AGAAAGGATAGTGAAGCTCCGCCCAAAGCGCGTCACACACACTTTTGCACCGCGCAGCCAGAGCAGCAAAGCTGCTTCAGCCGCGCGTCAGAACTAACTGGTACAAGCAGCAAAAATGAAGCAGCAGACGCGATTTTGCTGCATCCGATGTGAACGTAGCATAACTGCACAAAGATCGCCACTGTGCTGGCAACGAGAATGCTTTTAACTGGGGGCGTGTAGCAGTTCTCGCCGTAAAGCAAGACTGACTCTCACGAGACTTCTGAGCCTGTGGGTGCGGGTGGGTGCTACTGCAATTGCAAGTGCAGTATTTCCCCCACAGACCACCAGGGCGGCCGAGAATACCTTTGTTCAACCTGAAATGAATCATTTAATCATCCATAACGTTATGGAACACATTAATTAACTGAAAAATGTTGCATAGTGTGCCTTTAAAGTGTTTGCTCCGACTGATCTCTTCTCAGGAAAGAATCAGGAAGAAAAGGCTTAAAGGTGTAAACACAGTTTTCCTTTACAGTATTATATTTGAATATATAATAATCAATGTATCTGTCATATATACGTATAATATGGCATTTATAACATTGGAGAATATTGTTAAGAATGCTGGTCCATTCTGTGTCATGATTGCAAACCACCCCTGCTAATAATACATTCCGCCTGTTGGTCGTGTTGAAAGTCACAGGGTGCTGAAAGTAGGAAATTCACAATCTTACTTGTTGAATAATGCAGACCTACTTTAAAAAAGGCAGGTATGCTCTGTCCTTTTTCTTTAAAACTTTTTTCTAAAACTAACATAATTATTTACATGTATTTAAGTTGTAAGTATTACAGTGCAGACGTTATTCTTCAGTCTCTAAGACATAGGAATTTGTCTTTCAGCTTTAAGCCATTTAAGTAAAAGTTACATATGGTGTGGCCCACTTACGTATCTCCGTAATCTTCCATATAGCAAGGACTGGTTCATGAGGGCAGCAGTCAACACAGACTCCCAGACTTCCCTCTATCCAGACACTTTGTCCAGCTCTGCTGGGGAAAGCACAGGTGCTCCAGACACTCCAGTGTGCCCTGGGTCATCTTCATGGCCTCCTCCGAGTAGGATGGGCCTGGAAAACCTCCCGAGGGAGGTGTCCAGGCAAAAGAGCCGACTCCTCCGATGTGGAAGAGACTCCCGTAGAGAGGCTTGGAGTAGAGCCTCTCTGAGGCAGTACCCAGATTCTCGTTTCTTTCAGTCATGATTCAGATTTCACTGCCATAGTTAAGGATAGGAATGTAGACTGACCAGTAAGTCGACAGTTTTGCCTTTTTTGCTCAGCTCAACAGACTGTGTGTCAACTCTTTAGCTGCAGCCACACAGATCGATATATTGATCTGCCACTCAATTCTCTAGCAGGAGAAGCAGGCCTGCTGGAGTCCAACATGAATTGGGAACAGGTCTGACTTAATGCCAGCAATGCAAACCAAACTCGTTTTCTACAAGTGCAAAGACTAGGTGGCCCCTAGTATATTGCCCTCACTCTGTACCCCTGGAGCACACCCAACATGGCACCATGGGGGGCACAGTTAAATGTGTGATCCCCCTATTCTAGGTCTGTACCCTGTGGTTCTCTTCCTTATGGAAGGGAATGACCACCCCAATCTGCCAGTCTAGGAGCACTATCCTCAACCTCCATGCAATGTTGGAGCGGTGTGTCGGCTAATACAGGCCAGCAACATCCAGACACCTAAGATACTCAGGATAGATCTCATTCATGGAGTTTTTTTGAACACCTCTGTGACTTCAGTCCTGGTGGTGAATGAATCCGGTCCTGAGCACCCAATTTCTCTTCCGCCATGGAAGAAATGTTGCGGAGATCCTCATAGTAAGCCTTCCACTGTCCGACAATGTCATCATTCAAGGTTAGCAGCTCCCCACTCCCAATATAAATGGTGTTAGCTAAGCACTGCTTCCTTCTCCTAGGGGAGGTGGGAGTTGAATACCTCCCTCACCAAGGGCAATGCCAGACGTTTCCAGCAGGCCCTTACTTCTCTCTTGGGCCTGCCAAGTCCAGTCCAGTCAGTGTATTATACCTTTCATAGAGAACCTCAGTTCTATTCTTATTTATTATTAATTGCCTCTTTTGATGTTGAAGTTTACGTGAACACTGGACCTTTGACACACTAGTTTTTCACTGCTTTTGTTAAAGGATATATATTTTAGATGTATTAATTATAATTTTTTTATTTGGAATAAACATTAGAATGTTTAAGATGTGTGAAGAGGAAACGATAAACTTTCCTAAATGGAAAATGCTGGCCTTAAAGGGGAGCATGGCTGTGACTCAAAGGCACAGTATCAGGAATAGAATAAAAATGAAATTTAAATAATGGTGGCAGATTAATTACTTAAATAAACAGTGACAGAACATTTACTTTATAATTTTTCTTTTTTTTTAATCTAAACTAAGGGACTACTAGGCAATAATTATATATAAACAAATAATTATTAGCTTTTTTGTTAGAGTAAACAAACAACAAAATTAATGCAAAATACTTGACTCCAGATAGACAATAGATTGAAGTGTCTTGACCAAATTATTTGGGGTCTAAGCTTTTGGATATCTCATCTGTTCAGTCTTACCGCTGTTGTTGGTGATGCCAGTTGTCATGGAAGTGGCTGTTAGGAAAAGGGTTGATGATTTGGTGTCTGCACACACATGGGCTATGTATATTTATACTTTAGTGCGTGGTTGGGAAAGGGAGGAGGGGGTTGCGTGCAGCTGCCCTTCGGGTGACTGAAGCAAGATTCAGTACTTTTATTTTCCTGTCTGATGGCTGTTGTAATATCTGTCTTTTGTTTGCATGAGTACATATTTCAATGTGTCTTTGTTTGTAAATCAGCATGTGTATAATGCCCTAAAAAAGAAGACACAAAATAACCCCCTTAGTACAGTTATGACAAGGATTGTTGTTCTTTATTTTCCATTTAGATGCTTATATTACATTTGTATGTTTCTGATTTGTATTGGTCAATAAAGCTTTTAATTTTCATCTCAAGTCATTCATACTCTTAGAAACACATTTATCACATATAAAAAAAATAGTATTATAACTTTGGCACTGTTGCCCTTGAAATTGCACATATGTCTGATTTAACTCATTCATGAAAGTTTTCATTTCATGTTTGGCTCTGTCAGCACAGTGATCTTTTACTAATGAGACCTACTCTGCTGGAAAAGATGAAGCATAGGTAGATAAAAGAGAACTAAAGAAAAAGAAGAAAGGATAAATATGACTGATCATCTCTAAAATTTAATTTTACTTAGTTCTATAGCTACATTGTGACTGTTGCACTCTTTTGATTTACATATTTGTTGCTGGTATGATATTCGATGAGAACACACAAAGCTATCAGCCATTTACAAAGAAATAGGTGTACATCACTGAGTAGCTTTTAACATAAGTCTGAGAGGATGTTACCATGGCAACATTATCGCACATACTAAGATTACAAAAGCCTTTTTCTCTTCTCCTGCTACTCTAAAAAAAATTTAAATTCTCCGTATCATCTCTACAAACTCTATATTCAGGTTTAACACCAAACTAAAACAATGCAAATAACTGAATTAAGGCAAAAAAGTACAACTTAAAACAATGACTAGAATGACAATTTTTGCCATATTTTGCCCATGGTTTTGACCCTTAGACATTAAAACTAAGGCTGTCCTCTGTTTCATTTGTCACATTTAAACAGTACAAGAATTGTTCCCCAACAGTATCATCCTCAAACAGATTTTCTACTCCATTCATTATTTAACTATAATGGAATAGTTAATGTCTTTGTGTTTGCTTCAATTGCCTTTTTCCAGCACTTTTTTCTCTCCTCATTTATACTGCATGAGTGTTATACTAACCAAGACTTTATCTCTGGTAGAGAATTTATATTTCGAAAGTCCTGAAAAGGAAGATGGAAGACTGTTACAAACTATCAACCTATGGAATTTAGTGTTTAAAAAGAAAGTTTGAAAATTGTCTATTATGAGGTCTTTTTCATTGAATTGGAAGACTGAAAGCAATATACTAATTTAATAATCTCTGATGGATAGCGTTTAAATATTTTACACTGTTTAATGTTGTTTACGTATTCTAAAATTGAATGTCTAAGTCATGCCACTGAAAGAGAATACTTTAACTCTCCTCCTGTAGGGTTTCTAATTAAGTCTGTATCTTTGATAAGGGGGATGAATCACAGATGTGTTCAAGTCTGTGTTTAAGTTGTAATGCCTTACTGTGGCACCCTTAAAAAGTAGCAGCAAAAAGGATTTACATTCCAGGTTGCCTTTATGCCCAGTACTTATTGCAAAGCGATGATTTCACACCTTCTTTTAGGCACTGCAAAATTGTACACTCTACTGTATAGGGCGACAAAGGTGTCCGATACTACAGTTTGCTCTGCAGCTGAAGGGTCATCGATTAAAACCCCAACTTCTGCATTCAACGTTGTTGTTTCCTTGTGGGAAAAGACACTTTACCTGCATTGTCTACTGATGGTGGTCAGAGGGCCTAATGGTATCTGTTTACGCAAGCCTCGTTTCTGTTAGCTTCTATATATTTGCATATTTAGGGGTGACCTTATCAAATACTCAATAGGGTTGCAGCTGTCAACTGGCCTGCTTCTATACGCATGTGTTTTAAAACAGTCTGTAGGTGTTTCCTTATTGGAATTAGCATCTTGTAATCTAAAAACATGCAGAAACCCTCAATTTCAGTGAAATTATAGTTACTGGTCCTTCACTATACTGTACGAATTGAGTTGGTATTACTATGGATATTGTAAAGATGCAGGTAAACTACATTTCTTTTTAAACTCAGAATTCACCTGGTGAATCATAGTCTTCCTGGAAAACCCATGCACCCTCAGTAAAATGTCTTGCAAACCATCTATAATTACAATGAAGTTTCAGCCTCTTCTCTGTTATTCCAAGGTCCTGTTTAATGTTTTTTCTAACCTCTCTCTGCAGGTGCCATATTTGATGAGTCGGCACGGAAAGATGACGAGGTTTTTCGTCTTGCCGTGGCAGACCTGAACCTAAACAATGAGATCTTGGAGACAGAAAAGATAACCTTCTCTGTGGAATTTGTCGATGGGAACAACCCTTTCCAGGCTGTACAAGAAGGTAGGAATGTCCTACAGCTTTTTTGAAGCGCAAATGTTACTGGTGAGAGGGGTGGTGGACCTTGCATGTGTTTTAACAGGCATAAAGGCATAACTTAGTCACAGGTGTAACCCACACCTCATTTTACTGATTCCAAACATTGTGAGTTTCTCAAAAACCTTTAATATAGTCATGGGGTTTTTTGCTTCCTAAATGTCTCCCAAGCTTTTATTTGGATAAACCGGACATTAATTATTTAAATATATGTCTGCAATTATTTGATGCAGTTTGAAAAGTTTATATAGTACCTGAAAGAAAAATCCTTTGACTGGTTTCAGTTTGGAAAAATGCAAAGTTGAATACATTTTCTTTAAATGTTACCATCTTATTTAAACAAGTTATTTGTGTGCTATTTGTTATTTAATGTTGAGTAATCTTAGAGTACTATTTGATTACCTTAGAACGTTATTGGTTTCATTGATTTAAATTACGTCATCACTGACATAATAGATGAAAAAATGTAAAAAAAAATATGATAGAATGTTAAATACATTTTAAATGATTTAATTACTCTTTCTTTGACCTGTATGTTAATATATGTGTGTATATTAATGACATTTTTCCTGATTTCATAGCCATGTCTGACATAAAAGTTCATGGCATTTAACATATCCTCAAATATGCACAACATTTTAGATGAATTAGATTCTTAGAAAGTGTGCACGAACCCTTATCTATAGGACTTATTTTTTGCGAGACTTATACCCCTTTCCCACTGGCCAATAATGACTTGGCAAGCGACACGCGTTAAAAGCACGTTCAGATAGCTGGGTTCCGATTGGCATACAGTGGGAACATTAGACATCGGTTGATCTGCTAATTTACATGATACCGTTAAGCACGACATACGGAAGTGTCAGAAGGCTCAGAACATTGGACCCACAATTCAGGCAAGACAGAAAGTGATATAATTAAAGGGTGTTTATTCAACGAAGCATGCGGCTGCTTGTCTGGTACGGCTGGAAACTCTGCAGTAGTGGCTAAGGTCGATGACCTCAAAACTTAAACGAGGAACATCAATATGCATGAAAGCCACCAACCTGGCAAAGTTCAGTCTGTGCTCGGAAGAAGGAGCATTGTCCAGAGGAGCGCAACTCTATTGTTCGTTACTGAGCCGGGGCAAGAAATCCAGGAGGGAGGAGGAGCAGCATCTTGCAGCAGCCAGTGTATGAATAGGACCCAGGAGAATAATCCAAGTCATGGTCAGAAGACAGGTAACAGCCCGGAAACCCAGGACAGGCAAAGAGAGCAAACAGGGATGGCCAAAAGTCAGAGGGCACAAACAGGTCAGGAAAAGGCAGAACATGATACAAACAGGAACGCTAGAATTAGGCTCGCTAGGAGCTCGAATAATCTGGCACCAATGGCTGGGAACTGGAGGTATAAATAGCAGCAGGATGATCATGAGAGGATCATGGTAATTAGATGAAGTCAACACACCGCACCAGTCAAAAACATGTTGCAGGACTGGTGAGAGGGATTTGGAGGTATAAAAGAATGAAACAGTAAAGCACATTGACTACGCACTGGCTTCCTTCCATGTTTCTTGATTTCTGTTGCACTGATAACATCATCTAACCCAGCTTGGTGGCATCATCAGACTCACAGCAGTGGGGGGACAGAGGCTATGCAGGTTTCTAGTGGGGGGTCAGTCTCAGCTTTTTTGGCCAATGGGCAGGGAGCCAAATGCCAATTGTTAACGGTTCAACCCGTGTCTGAAAACCCCATGTTAACCAGATCCTTTCAGTGTAGAAGAGGCATATAACTGAAGTTTTTTTTTATTATAATAGTATTAATAATTATTATTATTATTGTTTTATAATTCCTGCTTTCCGTAGTACCTATATTGTTAATCATTTTAAATTGACACATTCACTGTGTCTAAAGATAACACTTGTACTTAGTATTAGGCCAACCTTTACATGTAAAAATATTTTGTTAGTACATAGCTAAGTGAAACATCATCCATATCTTTTAGAGAGTCCCACACACTCATGATACGGATTGTCTGTAAAAAATAGAAAAAACAAACAAAAACAGTATGTGGGTATATTTTTATGCCATTTACTATTGTTCTTTGGATCATTGTCCTGCTGCATTAACTCAGTGCAGTCGAACATAAGGTCAAAGACTGATAGGGTTACATGTCTCTGATAGAGGGTAATTATCGTCTGATCAATTTTGGCAATTTTTCTAGATCCTGCCAAGTCAAGGCTATCAAACTACCATTGTCATGATGGAATGTTATCTTCAAATTTCTGCATCTATTGTAATAGGATTCCAAACCTGACAAAAATATCTGTCTCCTTAAACAAGCAGGAACATTTCCTAAACTCACTGTACATAGTTTCTAGTGTGACACATGCTGCATATAACTTCCTCTTGTCAGCAATAAGCTTTGAATAGGTGTATTTATAAAATGGAAAAGAATGGGCCTACTGTTATCAGTAATTCATGGGTATTTGGAAGGATTATTATTCGACTGACATATCTCACTGTCTGTAAAAGGAACTCCCTGGAGAACTTGTTTGAACTTATAGCAATATTAATCAGGTTTAACTTTTGGGTTTACTAGCATATATAAAAGGTTACTTGGTAATTAACAATTTGCCTTTCATTCCTCCTCTCTAGAAATTCAAGAATAAATGGATGCAGATTTGCAAAAGTGGTAGTTTATTACATAATCGTCATCTAGGAATCTCACCGACATCATCTACTTGAAGTACTTTAGATCGCGAAAAGTGTAATTTGGTGGTCAGATAGGTAGGAGATGACCAAAATTGAGAATAAGAAATGTAATCATGTTGTGGAAAAAGACGCAAATCAACCAGACACAGAGAACCAAGATCTTCTGCTCATCATATCCTGATGTCTCTGTGGTGTAATGAGCTACAATAGGTTAAATGTGTGATCAAAAGAATCCCACTTCATTTATCATAATCTGTGTTTTAATAATCCTTGAATTCATAGCTAAGCTTCTCATCTCTGATATTCATGACATAACGTAATTTTTAGAGCATCGTATTTATTTGTTTGGTTCAAATTATTTTGTCTCACCTATTCTTTCCTGTGCTTTTGCACTACAGAGGAGGTGAAGGGTATGACACACAGAAAAGGTTTTTGCAAAATCTTTCATAGACAGTAAATTAAAGTGCAACCCATCAGACATGCTCTAACAAGTGTCTCTATAGAGGGACTCCAATTAAAATAAATGCTTTGAACATGGATCATTTATTTTAATAAGTTCCAGACACAAGCATAATTCACTGTTGCTTTGTCCTATGTGGAACGTGTAAAATGTGATATTAATCATAATTGGAACACAGTTATTTTTTATAATGGTGGGATGATGGGAATTAAAAGTAGGGTCTGTATTGCTATTTATCTTTTATACATTTGAAATGCTGCCAGTGACTTTTTTGTTACTTTATGTGACGGGGTTCTATTATGACTTGGTCAAACACATAAATGACTGGCCAATGCCGGAGATAAGTTTAGTGATTGTTTTTTTATTCAGTGATCTTTTCTTCTGGTGAACAAAGACGGTTGGTGCAAAAATATTTACATGGACATCCAAGGCAGGTTAAAATCAGAAAAAGAGCAGTACCTTCAAAAAATCAGAATCCATCACCTTCAGTGTGACATCTCAGGAGTCCAGCCACAGACTGACTCCCTGTGGAAAAGAGGCCTGCTTTTAAAGCTATAGGCTCCACCCACAGAAAAAAAAAAAATAAAAATAAAATAAAAACTAAACAATTACTTCTAATTCACTAAGTAAACAAAAATAATGATTTTGATAATGATGACAATAATAATAACACCATGCTAAAGAGAGAGAAAAAATAAAAATAAACTTGTAATCAAAAATACAATACTCAATTTAATACAACACACTCTGTACGTTCTGATGACATCACTACGTCATCACGTGACTCCCTCCCGGCGCGCTACAATCCGGAAATAAACCTGTTTGAAAATAGATGCAGAAAATATACTTGGCTGAAAATAAGCAGGTTAGAATAAATGTTAAATGAAAACCGGACCATCGCGTGTGCACCCACGATGAACGGCGCCAGCCCAACCTGCAACAAAAGTAAGTGATTGCGTACGTGTATGTATGCGTGTGTGTGTGTGTATGTTTGTGCGCATGCTGACACTGACTTATTCCTAAGTTCCAGCTGATGACGGCTCCTCCGTCACACCACCCGTCTCCTCTCCAAGGTTGGCGAAACTCGGCAACCTAGAAAGAAAGTCTGCCACTTTATTAAGTCTGCCACTTCTATGACAGATGTTAAATTTGTAAGGTTGCAAGGACAAATACCACCTAGTTAGACGATGGTTACTATCCTTCATGGTGTTGATCCAGGTTAGGGCACGATGGTCTGTCTCCAAATCAAATTCTCTGCCCAGAAGATAATACTTGAGACTTTCCAGAGCCCACTTAATGGCCAGTCCTTCTTTTTCCACCACAGAGTATCTCACCTCCCGAGGTAGCAGCTTGCGACTCAGGTAGAGTATGGGTTGCTCCTCTCCAGGATCTCCTTGAGCCAAAACAGCTCCTAAACCAACTGTGGATGCATCTACTTGGACCAGAAATTTCCTGCTGAAATCAGGACTTCGGAGGACAGCAGATGAACATAGATGAGCTTTCAGAGCGTTAAAGGAGTCTTCACACTCCTTGGACCACACAACAGGATTCTTCTGGTCTTTAGCTGTCAAACTGGTGAGTGGAGAAGCAAGTGTAGCAAAATGAGGCACAAACCTTCGATACCAACCAGCTAGCCCCAAGAATGATCGCACTTCCTTCTTGGTTCGAGGGCGGGGGCACTTTTGGATTGCTTCAACTTTGTCCATCTGTGGTCGCACCTCTCCTCTCCCCAGCTGGTAACCCAGGTATCTGGTTTCCTGTTGTGCCCAAACACACTTTGATATGTTAAGTGTCAACCCTGCTCCTGCAATCT